TAACATAGAAATTGAGAGGACACCAGGATGGCAGGTGTCTCTACACAATAGTGAAGTCCGAGGGTGAAGGGGCCTGAGCTGGCCCGCAGGAGAGTGTGTAGGGCACAGCAGGCACAGGGGATCCTTGAGCAGAAGCACGAAGGTGGGCAAGGATCTAGTGCTTTTGGAACAACGACTGCATTTCGTTTAGTGCTAGGTATGTGTGTAAAAGTAGAGAGTTAAAGCTGGATGGGTGGTTTGAGGTCAGACCTTGACCAAGTTTGAGTGTTTGAATGGGAAGTTGAGACTGATTTCTGCATTATCATTCCATTGTAGCTGCTCTTTTTCAGGTTGTCATTGACTGTTTGGTTTCCAGATGCAAAGAACGCATTTCTGTTCTTATCAGAGCTGCTCTCTCTGTGGCATTTGCCACTGTTTGTTCTTCCCTCCTTCTTACTTTCTCAGCTCTTGGCTTCAGTGACCAGGTGGTCTTTCTCAAATGTAAATCCGATGAGGCAGCTGCCATGCTTGCCATCCATTAATGGCTTCCCACCACTATTGGGATGAGATCTAATTCCATAGCACCCCGGCATACAAGGGCCTTCGAGAGGGCACTCTTCCCTCCCTCTAAACACGCCTCATGCCCTCTCATTTCCCCACATGCCGCCGAGCTCCAGCCCTCCTGACTCCTGATCTTGTCTTACTCTCCTGTCTTTTTGAGGTGCTGTTTTCCTTGCCCAGAATGGCCCTCTGTTAAGCCCACCTTGCTGTTTGGCTGAAATGCCCCCTATTCTAAGAAGCCTCCCTTAGACCCCCAAGAAAGAGTTAAGTGACTCATCTTTTGACTTCCTTATGGCTTTGGCCATGCCTCCGTGAAAGCCCAGCTTGCATGTATGCTGTTATTTGTTTCCGCACTTGCTTGTGAGGCCTTAGAAATCAAGGATAGGCTGGGGGTGGTGGCTCTGTAATCCTAGCACCCTGGGAGGCCGGAGTGGGAGGATTGCTTGAGCTCATGAGTTCGAGACCAGCCTGAGCAAGAGTGAGACCCTGTCTCTACAAAAATATAGAAAAATTAGCTGGGCGTGGTGGTACTCACCTGTACTCCCAGTGACTAGGGAGGCTGAGACAGAACGATTGCTTGAGCCCAGTAGTTTGAGGTTGCAGTAAGCTATGATGACACCACTGCATTGTACCCTGGGGGTGACAGAGTGAGACTTTGTCTCCAAAGAAAAGAAAGAAAAAGCCAAAGAAAGAAATGAAGGATAAGTTTTCATTGCACCCTGTACTTTCAGCACTTGGTAGAGCGCTTGGCTCATGGAAGAGGGGGAATGAAAATTGTGGGTGGACAGGGGTATGGGGACGGTGGTGGGCTGGGAGCACCTTCATCAGAACCCCCTGCACAGAGTTTCGAGAGCCAGAAAGAAGTGAGGCCTGTGTTACCACATTTCATATGCTTCTTACAGTTCTGAAAGGCTGATGGATGATACTAACCATCATTGAACAACCCAATTATAAAGACATTCAGGTGGCAGAGAATTTAGCAATTATAGTGATCTTCATGAAGCAAGTTCCACAAAATATTGATAAGTTAAAGCCCATCCCATGATCCAGGAACAATTTTAATGGCAGAAACTGTTAGTATGACATTTGAGGGGATTAACATAACAATTGTATATGTTTATGTAAGGCACGATTGGCAGTTCCTATGTGTTCTATTTAATATTTATCTATAAGTTCATTTGTTGTTTCAGACAAATACTAGATGCCAAAGAGTTAGAAAAAGTGTAAAGAAAATTTAATCATTACTCTAATCCCTAATTTTTCTTGCAAATTGGGGAAAGATTAAGGTTAATTTTTTTTAGTGAAGTAAGATCTCATTCCAAGGGATGAAATACCTGTGTAGAGAATCCATATTCTAGTCTCCTGTCATTGTTAGAAGTAGCAAAAAAAAATCAGTTTGTAAAAAGCAGATAATCATTTTTTTCTCTAGTTTAATGTGACTTTTTGCATTGATCCTTAGTTAAACAAAAATAAATGGTGTTTTTTAGACTCTCTTGCTAATGTTTCCTGGTCTTTAACAATAAAAATGGTTGTTCTACATAGTCACATTAAAGTGTGAAGATCAAAATTGGATAGTTAAATTTATTTGATAGTGCTTACATGTAAAGAATTTAGAAGTGGGATTTTTCTCTGGATTGTCTGGTTGAAGTAATAATATGGGTTGCCTAGAATTTTCGACTGTGTTATGATCGACACGATTTGAATAGTTAACTAATTTATAAATATCAGTTGGGGATAGCAGAATAGGAGAGATTTCAAACACTGAGTTGTGTGCACATCCACTTGTGTGTATCTGTGTGTTTATTATTTTGCTCGTCCCATTCTTATTAGTCCTTGCAAGATTTTTGTCTTGAGAATATCAAACTATAAAGACAAATATATTAAAATTATAAGCCACTCCTCAGGCATAAAGAGCAAAATGCTTTAGTTTGGGTTTTAAAGGATATTTTCATTATTTAAAAATTATGTAAGAAATATGATTGTGGTTGAATTTGTATTAACACCTGTGGTATTGCTATAACACCAACAACTAATACTGAGCCTCAAAATATTTCTGTATTTTTCTTATTAATTAATTTTTGTTCAGTGATCTCTGTCATAGCACATACAGTTATTTTGACTCAAACCATTATTTTTGTGGTGCAGCATGCTTGGGCTATTTAGGTGAATAGGTATTCTGGATCTAAAACATAATTTGGTTATTTTTCTCTTGATAGAAGCTTATAATTATGGTGTACATTTTTTTCCTTATAAAAGAAGCCAACATTATATAGCTGCTGTGATCATTGTTTGTATTTATCTTTTCAGATTTATTCATCCCTGGAGGGCTGGAGGATAGCCTGAGATTGCATAGCTTTGTACCGTAGTATTTTCTTAGGTTAATTTTGACTAACATGCCTAGAGAGATTGTGGGAGGGACATTAAACCTAAAAATTTAAAATAAAATCACATTATATTGAGAAGAAAGTTTGTAATATTCTTAATATTGGAACTTTATTTTCAGGGATTAGAAAAAGAACAGACAGAAAGAATCCCCAGACTGGATGAATTAAAACAAACTGGACAAATCCTTGTGGAACAAATGGGAAAAGGTGAGACCCCCCCCCTTTTTTTTTTCATATCTTTTAGATGGCCACACCAAGTAATATTACAGTTCGACATATTAGATATTTGTTTTAAAACTCTCACCCTCTTTTTGTCAGGAAAATGGTTTACAAACATTTTTTTAGGCATTAGAATCTTTTAAAAAATGAAATTTTATACTGAAGCTGATCATAAAAAACAGATAAAAGCAAAGTTGTTCTGTTTTTATATGGGGCCAGGGAATCAGAAACCCTGATACATTAGTAGAACAGTTAAAATTTAGTGGTATAGAAGATTGTAAAACCTCATCCTTTGGGGTTGTATGCTGGGAATATTTTTGCAGGGGGTATAGCAAAAGAAAACTTTACTTATGCAATATTTGGAAATTGAAGTTAAATTAAGGTAAATCCATTAAGGGCATTTGATTTCTGATTACTTTCAATGTATTATATGGATTTACTACAATTTTTTATAGTTAAGTTTGATAAGGTATTACTTGTATTTGAAATTTTTATCTGCACCAAAGTTTTTTTTTTTTTTGGCTATAGCTCCCAGTGATCCAGAGGAGGCTGAAGATTAATATTCTAGCTATGCAGTTTTACAAATGATTCTCTTTGTTCTACCTTTGAAAGACATTTCTTGTATTCCCTATTCCTTATTCTAGTAATAGTAAGTGCTTTGGAGGTCTGCTGTAGCTCTCCTTGACAAAGCCACAGGCACCTAAAGCAGAATTAGGAATATTAGTTTACAAGAATCTTCAAAACAGTAACATTAAATCTTTTTATTTTTTTGACTTTTTATTATGGAAAATGCAACTGTATACAAAGCAAATGGAATAGTATAATGAACTTTGTTGTATCAGTTACTCAGGTCAATAATTGACAATATTCTGCCATCCTTGAATTATCTATGCCTTTATTCACTCTGCACCCTCTCGATTATTATTTTTATAGGTTTTTTTGAAGTAATATTTACTTACATTGAAATACATGAAACTTAGATGTGCTGTTTTGATGAACAGATACACCTGTGTAACCTACGCACAGGAAATTTCCATTTTTCTAGAAGGTTCTCTGGTGTCCTTTTTGGATTAGTCACCTTCCTCCACTCCTGGAAAACAACTGTTCTTATTTTTTCTTTTGATCTTAGATTATTTTTGCCTCTAGCCTTTTAAAAAATGTATTCACTTATTTTGTGTATATACTGGACACACACATATATACACACACATATACGTACATACAAATGTAGTATTAAACATATATGTGTCATATGTGTTCATTTCTTTTGAAATTATGCAAATGTATTATTCAGTCCATATATTATTAGTGAAGGTTAACTTCTCTTTAAATAAAATTAAATAGAATAGTATTTTCTTTCAAAATCTACCCTAAGCAGACTGTCTTAGTTATTCTATGTGTGGCCACCTCACTTGGACTTTGCTCTTTCAAATACTTACTTAAAGAGACCCAGAGACACAGACCGTAATTTCTCTTGAGGTACTAATTCTTTCAATAGTTATAATAAATTGAGTGCTGAGTTTATGTCAGTTACAATTGTAGATTCTTTACTTCTAACTCAACATTGTACCTTGGAACTCAGACTTTATGTGTTGTGAAGATGGGATAACTTCATGAGTCTGCGTGCTGAATTTACCTCCGTTTCTATGTCAGCTTTTAGGCGATGTGGCAGAATTAAACTGATTAGAATTAGTCTTCACACTAAGTGAAGTGAAGATTGATAGGGAAGACTTTGTCTAGATGGGACGTTGGTGAGCAGTGATATGTTGTAGTGAGAATAGCAGTGAATGGGGAACAGGTGAACTTGCATTCTCTTGTCCTTTTCTAGTTTCTTGTCCTTGGGCAAGTCTTAGAACCCCTTTCTTTCTTTGCTTTGGCATCTGGAAAGTGAGGGAGTTCATTAGCTGACTATAGCCTTTGCTCAATAAAATTGTACTATGAGTAGGCAGGGCCTAGAAATATATACTATGGAAATTGAATTCACTTGAAAGTGCTATTTGCAAGAGGCCAAAGTGCAACATCAGGGAATGTATGATATGTGGCTTTATAAAGGAATGAATTTTGTCACCTAATGTATACTTGTCCAATTTAATAGGAAACCTTTTATATTTTGCATTATCATTTTCCCCCAAGCATTGGTAGAACTACAAATGCATTCATTAGAGGACTCTAATTTTATTTATTTTAAAAGATATTTCTGTTTTAAAGAATTTTTAGGATAGGAGTGAGAAGCTGGGAAATGTGGGAACTGGAACCAAATAGGGTCTATGTGTTTGAGTTCAGTTAGGACGGTGTATAAATTCTTCAGTAAAACACATGTTCGAATAATCATTTCGCTGTTTTCCTGAAACCAGTTTCATCAAAAAGCCCACCACAGCCAAGCCTGATAGGTCTTTCCTGCCTAACGCATTTCACTTAAGTTTTGTGATATCTCATAGAGCATAAAAATGTTTCTAAAAAACAAAATAATTTGTTTCATTTGACATTATGGCTGATATACCTGGTTTGCTTGGTTTAGCTTATCTTGTTCCTAGAGATCAGTGTATTATAGAAATTTTTAAAGTTGCATTGTCTGGGGATCATAAGTGACCTTTTGTTTTACATGC